CCCAAGGGAGAGTTCGGGTGGTCTCTTGGACAAATCACCCATTCAGTTTCCGCAATAGGGTCTGCACGCAAGGGAAGGCACAAGGGAAAGCAGGGCTTTCGCACCGTGAACCGACCCGTGACAGGATCCTACGCGCGGGACCGTAACTACTCTGGCCCATATGAACTGTAAAGGGGTGCATTTTGACTTTTTTGTGATAGGAGAATACCACTTAGGTTAAAAGGAAAATTTTATAAAACAGTTGTCAAGGCCAGCTAAGTTGTATGGAGCAGAGTGTTGGGCAGTCAAGAAACAATATGTTCAGAAAATGAGTGTGGAAGAAATGCGAATGCTAAGATGGATGAGTGGAAAAACTAGAAAGGATAGGATCAGGAATGAAACCATACATAGAAACTTAAGAATAGCTCCAATAAGTGATAAATGAAAGAGAGTAGGCTATGATGGTTTGGTCACATTCATAGAAGACCACCAACAGCTCCAGTTAGAAGTGATTTGTTACAAGTGGAAGGGGCCAGAAGGGCTAGGGTTAGACCAAAAGGACATGGGTAGAAGTAGAAGAAACGATTTAAGCACTAATAATTTAACAGTGGATACAGATTTAAATAGAACAGATTGGCGAAACAGGATTCATGTAGCCGATCCCATATAGTTGGAATAAGGCATGGATGATGATTCTGTGATGATGTTTACATTATTCTGGTCCCTTATGAATTGTAAAAATTATGCACTTTTCATCAACTAGTATTACACTTCAAACCTATTTTCTGGATTCCAGAAAATACGACTAAGGTTAAAAGAAAATAAGATGTAAGGATTATAATAGCAGAAAATCATGAAACTTGACTGGAATATTGGGCATCATACCAAAACATCAAAACGTATGGGCTTCAAATAAATTTCTTTATTCATCACTGTTGATTGCATTTTGTTGCAATATTGTCATGTTGCATCGATAAGGGCTCATATTTGGAAGTTGGCTACATTGTATAGATAAGTATAGAAAGTGTGTCCATAGCAGGACATAAAAAAGTGTATAAAAGACATGAATATACAGCTCAAATCCTCATCCATAAAAGTAGGGGTGAAACTTGGGCGAGCTGGGGTTAGGGTTTTGTCAAAATTTGAATGGGCTTGGCCCAAAGATTGAGCCTGAACTGAAGCAGTGTATAATGATAAATCGGGCCAACCTGAGTTGCACCCCTACATAAAAGATATAAGACACAGAGCCTTGACCTATTTTCTGTTTCTTTTTTTTTCCACTCTTGCATACGTAGCTTCCTGTCTGGTGTGTTAAGATTGGAGCTTTTCCCTGATGTTAATAAAATTGAGCCACTGGTAAAACAAGACAGTCCACTGATCTTGCTAAGTTATCTTTGCTTAAATTAAAATATTTATTTTGGTAGTAGCTTAAATTAAAATCTCTTTACTAGGGGTGCAACTTGGGCCCTGTGCTGTGTAAATTCTTCACACCAGGTACCCAACCTGCACCCTACTTTTTAGATTCTTTTTTATTAGAACCAAAATAGGTAACTAAGCCCCCCCTAATTCATTTTGTTAATGAGCAAGCATCACTGACTCTCCTGTTCTCGTCATTTGTTGTATTTGGTTGAATCTCTTTCATTTGCTAAGAAGCAAGGTTCAAAGTATTGATATGTATCGACCCGTATTGGTGGATACGTATCGTATCATGAGCTTCCCGATACACCCCTACAAAGGGTGTATCAGGGTGTCTGGTTCAGGGGGTGGACGGACCTTAAAGCAGCCCCTCTGAACCGGATGTGAAAAAAAACTAAAAAAGACTACCGGTACTGCCCGATACGCCTCTACTGGCGTATGGGCGTATCGATATTTTGAACCTTGCTAAGAAGTAAGATACACTCTCTTGTTTTACATAAAAAAGAAAGAAAAAGAACTCTACTCTCTTGGCAATTTGTACTGCTATTAGGAGTATGATCAGCTCTGTCTTATTCCATTCTTCATCCTCAACAAGCAACTAAAGAACTAGAGTATTCTAGTGTTGGATTTGCAAAGGAGCTGCCATCCGACTGCTGTCTCACTTCCTTGTCAGTTGGATGAAGGGATATCTGGAGACAGGGATACTGGGAAAAGATTGGAGAACCTCTTATAGTTTCCCCTTAGGTTTTTGAGGGTGATACTTTGAATTCCTTAAAATCCAACATCTACAGAGTAAGGAGGGCATTTTCAACTTCTAGAATCAAGCCTACTTAACCACATTTATTGGTGCAATAACCGGTCTTTTATGCATGTGATCAATTCACATATAACATATCACTACTCTCTGATTTTAAGTAACTCATAAATACATGAAGTTACAATCCTATCCTTACCTTTTTTTTTTTTTATCAGCAACTCAAAGAATTTTATTAAAACTTAAAAAGAGGAGTACAACAAGAAATTGTTAGAAACAACACCCATTACAACAAGAGTCCACCCCCTATTAACATTGAGCCCAAAACAAATGATGCCTATTTACTCCTTGTTTCCGCCAGACCATTAGCAGACCTCCTAACCCATCTGAAATGAATTTGCATTAATCTTGACAGCAACTTGAACCGCTTGAATTCATTTCTGAGTTGCCATAATACTCCTCCTTTTTCAACCAACCAATGACTATTTTTGAGTCTCCTTTGACAACCAGCTTTGTAATTCCCATTTCCTTAGCCTTTTGCACCCCAACAATAGCTGCCATGAATTCAGCTCTCATTGAATCTCTTTGATCAATAGGCCCCAAAAACAAGCCACAAATGTTCCCACGCCCATCTCTAATCACTCCTTTAATTCCAGAGGGACCCGTATTGCAAAAACGACTTCCATTAAAGTTAAGTTTCATCCATCCCCCACTTGGGGAGACAAAAGGACAGGAGATTAAGAGATGGAATCTCACCATTCAACTTACACAAAATGCACCAATTGGGAGACAAGCATTAATTTGGTCTTTTCTTTTTGCAGCAAATTACCTGTGTTGATGTTTCCATGATAAACTTCCCAACAGAAGGCACTGACTTTTGGGGTGATAGGGGCACACCAAACTTCTTTAACAGGGAAGGAATGGGAAGGGAAAGTGGCCACAAGGGAAGAGAAGAAAGATTTATAGGTAAACGACTCAACGGGACTGAGAGCCCACACCCGTTTATCATCCATTGACTCATCACAAACCAAGTTATCCAGGATATTCAATAGGTTAGACACACTGATGGGATTTCAGACTCTCTAAGGTTTCCTCACAAACCCCAAATTCCAGCCCTCATCAAAGAAGGAAGATGACCCAAAGAAATCAGACGGTTCAGACACAGGTTTTCCTTTAAGGCTTGAGAGAGCATACAGAGAAGGGAACACATCTTTCAAAGGGAGATCCCTAGCCCACACATCTTCCCAAAATCTAATCCTATTACCAGAAGCCATCTCATACCTGATATCCTATCCTCACCTTCTCTGACACTATAGGTGTTATGTTAGTTCATCTCAACCTTCATTCGGTCTCTTTTGTCAAGATGCTGAAAGAACTCTTTGGAGTGACCATCACTACCCATAGAAAATAAACAAATTTGTTTACACATTTGCACTATTCTCTTAATTGAATTTTGGTCCTCTGACAGACGTTTCACATTTGAGTCTCTCATTCTATCTTGTTAATCCACTTCCTACTATCAAGCATGTGATCCATCAATGGAAGATCTGGCTGATGGGTCAGAATCCATTCTCTTTCTCCATGCTTGCGCTGTCCTCAACACCCGGATCATTGTATTTTGACTACTACATGAGAACAGTCCTAACTCACTCCCATGCTAATCTCCTCTGAGATTGAAACCTTAATCACCTTAACCTTGCACATAAGGAAATGTTCCATCCCAAACTACCTTCCAGAGATTTAGGAAACAGGCACACCCATTGTAATATGAATTTTAAATTTTTACAACACAGTTTTTAATTGCTAGACCACAATTTTTATTAATTTCCAGTAAAAAAAAACTTTTTAACTACCGGACAAACACACTTATTTATCTCTCATGATTTAATTCCTAATGATCTAAATGCACTTAATGCATCTTATCTATTCACCCATACTCCTATCTGTTATCAAAATAGACCAAATAAATCCATGTTATTACTGTGTATAAAAAAAGTCCATGTTATTATAAGTAATACCCCCATCTGGCTCTTATGTAAAATTAACCAAGCAATATCAATTTATTACATGGCCCCGCTATAGTTGGGTTTTGGATAGAACAGAATGGTGGAACAGGATTCATGTAGCTGATCCATTGGGATGAGGCTTAGATGATGATGATATATGACGACATGGTCCTGTTAAAAGTCTATTATTTGCTTTTAAACTTGTATAAACTATATTACTATTATATTATATACATATATCCACATATGGATGTTCCAGTGATGCTCTGCTTCTGAAATTTGGTGCATAATGATCCATTCTCACTCATGCTTCCATACCACCTTACAACCTGTAACTTTGGTTGAAATACTGCACAATACTTGCTTGAATACATGTTGCAGGATGGAGATTATCAAGACCTTGCTACACCTCTCCCACTTCCCAAGCATGTGGTTATAATCCACCATAACCAGAAAGACATCACTAGCTAGATGGATATCCACGTGCATGCTCCGTTGAGAATTTTGGAGCTCCTCAAATTTGGCACTCCATTGATCCATTCCCACATCCATCAGCCTGAGGATTCTCAGGAAATGCCACCGTCTCCTACTTCCAAGTAGGTAGTTGTAATCTAAGACCATAATCAGAGAGATGTCTATACCTGGATCTGCCTGTTTAGTGCTTATCCCAGGCTAATTGGCATTCCCAAACTCCATCCACAGATCAACATTACAAAGAAGGATGATGACCATTTTTAGTAACTTCAAACCAGCATGGATGTGTCTTGGCTTGTGGTGGAACTGTATTTTATGGATCTTTTTTTAACAACATAATTTGATAGAAACACCTTTGCTTCGAAATAATGTCATCTCCTCTTTTGATGTATCTTGTGTTCTGCATTGGATTTAATATTATACTGAATGGTTTTTTAAGCTCACTGTTGAATTTCATGTCCCTCGACAGGGTCGTGTTAGGCAGAAATTGTCTTCGAGGGGAAAGTATGTGTCTGTAAATATTGGACCTGTTCAAGTATTTTCTAGTGAGCAGGTTCTCTCTCTCTCTCTCTCTCTCTCTTGCCCTGTATGTGTGTGTGTGTGGCATTAGGCAAGACATTGGAACCAGGTTTTGCACATATGCTTGTCTTATTTAATATCTATAATGAGATCATGTCCTTTTCCCAAAAATTAGTAGCGGGCAAGGTTGGAGAAGCATTTGTAGGGTGAAGATCAGTTCATTTCTAATTGGTGGTTAAGCATTTCCTTTTGATTGGCCATATACATATATATGTTATTTTGACATTTAATCATATCTTATTTTCCAGGTCCAGGCTGTGTACAATGCCATGAGGAGAGACGATAGGATGAAATACTTTTTGTAGAGAACAAACGTTATGACTTGTGATGTTTCGTATATTTTTTATAGAAGGCAAATTAATATTGGGCTCTTATTACTACTCCATTTTCAGTTTTCTTCCTTTTTTCCCCCTCTTTGCAGTTTAATTTAGTGGCTGTTAACTCACGACATCAATTGCTAATGGTCGTTGCTTCCATTCCATGAGGCATCACCTCTCAGAGGACAGAGGTCTCGACTTCAATATCCAACAATAAAAGAAAGGGTAGTTTGCAAATTTACTTGTTTAGTGGGGCTTAAAAATACCATCGATCTAAGATTTGTTCAGAAGCTCTAAATAATAAATACTGTCAAAATAAGCCTTGTTGGAAATATCACCGAGACTTGTCACCTACAAAAACCTGGGGACTGGGGCGTGACTACTAATAAATCAGAGGGAATGCCCTGAAACTCTCTGAAGGAGGCTCAGTTGGTATGCAAGGGGCAATTTGCGTTCAATGCAAGGGGCAGTTAGGGTCCTTTATTTTTTATAAATAAGTTAGGATCTTTATTACTTTGTAATTTACCCAAAAATAAAAGTAACTACATTTGTTTGTTTGTCATGGATTGGCAACACCATTCTTATCTCCTGATCGATTAAGCATCTGTTAATAAGGATGTTTGATCAAAGGATAAATTTCAGATTAATACCTTCTATTTTGGGTTTAGTCTCACTTTAGTGCCTGAATTTCAAAATTTGCCACTGCAATATCTGAACTTTTGAAAACTCAGTTTAGTCCCTGCCATTAGCAGTTCATCAATTATCTTATCATATGATGATATGTATGACTAAAAACTTCTGAACATGTCAAAATTACCCTTCAAAATAAGGCACTGTTCATCATCTTCTTCCTCAAGAATCAAAATTGAACCAAAGCAATGATGAACAGCCCCAAACCCACCACCAATCCATCTTCTCTATCCATTCTATTATTCTCTCTCTTCCCCTCCCTTCATCCTTCAACCTTTTGATGTGAACTTCCTAAATCTTCTCCACATTTATTCTCCCTCTTTTCCATTGCAACAGAGATTGCATGTAGCAGGAAACAAGCTCCATTAGACCCATTATTCTAAACCAACTTTAGACGGCTGACGACCATCTCTGACAAGAGCTCAACCGAAGGATCCATCTCTAACGAATCCAAGCTGAAGCACCCAAATTTGTTGAGGTAATTCCACTACGACTTTACAAAAATGAGATTTGGATGGTTGGCCTTCCAGAGTTCTGGATTGGCTGTGATTGCTGTTGCTTCGGTGTAAAGGTCATCTCTATACTCTGATTACAAACCTCTTGTATTTGTGACTTTCCAAGGAAACGTTAAAACCAATCTCTGTTATCTTCCTTTCTATAATTGAAAGAGGAGAAAAATCTCATAGATAGTATTTTTCGGGTCTTAAAGTTTCATCATTCTGGATGTGGAGAGGGCTGACAGAGAATTTGTCAGTGCCATTGGTTTTATGGTAACCTATTTATTTGAATACATGAAAACCCGGTTTGAACTCGTCATTTTCTATTCAAAAAAGCTCTCTTCTACGTACTGAGTGACGAAGAAAAATGGAGATTTCTCTTCATGTAAAACAAAACAAAAAATTAGTAGAGCCTAACCGGTAATTTCAATTTGTTTCTGTGGATTCTTCGTTTTAATGGATTTCGAAAACGAAGGATTACAACTAACCAAACTTTTAATTTTAGTCCATAATCCTTTTGTGGGTTTATTTTGGTGGTAATTGGCATGATTGATTCTGAGTTTGTTGGAAGGCTTTTGTAAGTTGATGTATAACCATATAAGTTGATTCGGTATTTGACAAATTGATTCCTCAAATCAAACACCCACTTGGTTGCAACCAAGGTCATGTCGATTGTAAGTCGATGTATAATTTTCTAAGATTGGTATTTTGTTTTTCTCTATGACATTTGGGTGGGTGATAAAAAAATTAAATGATGGGTATTTGTGTACTCTCACATGCCATTTAAAGTCAGTTAATGATTTTAGACTAAACCAAAGTTTTAAAAATTTATCGGGAATTGAAATCATTATGGCCATTGGTTTTGGGTCGATGATTTGTTCATCCATTTGAACGGATAGTCTGTTTCAACTTAAAAAATAAAAAAATAAAAATAAAAAATAATTAAAAACTATTGAATGGTCGATGGTTCAATTGCCCAAGTTAATGAATCATTGACCAAATCAACGTTTTTTGGCCAATGACCAGATTAAGAGTGAAACAAAATCAGGGGCGGAGCCAGGGGTGGCAGAGCCCTATGCCTTGAAAATCCCTACAATATCCGTTTTAACTTAGGGTTTTTACCCTTCAATTCACCCTTAGGTGGAGCTACTAGTATACTAGGGGTGGACTGAATCCTGTCTGTGGATTAATGTCAAATTTACGGGCAGGATGCAATTTATAGGGGGGTTATTAGTATACTAAGAGGGGGCTGCAAATTAGATTTCTGAGGGGATTGTAGTCCAAAAATCCCTTTTAATAACTTTACCTATATTTTGGTCCCTTTACCTATATTTACTAACTTTTGACTCCTATGCATGTTTATTATATTTTGGCCGGTTAAAAAAAAATTCTAACTTTTAATAACTTTACCTATATTTTGGTCCCTTTACCTATATTTACTAACTTTTGACCCCCTATGCATGTTTATTATATTTTGGCCAGTTAAAAAAAAATTCTAACTCCACCCTTGAACAGAACCTATTACCTAAACGATTTCTAAGTCGAACAGTAATCGTCCGAATCAACAGCAATTTTCAAGAGTTCAGCAATTTACCCTTGATCAAACCGATACCGAACCAGTTGATTGGTTATAAGTATTTCAAGTATCATGTCTTTCCCACATCTAATATCAGGCTGATCACATGCAATGCACGCGCGAAGATACAAGCGTTAGGCATTCGGGCAATTTATGCTTGGCTTGAGTGAATGAATTGGGATCTCCTGCCAAGGAAATCCTATTAGGCTGTTGGAATGTATTTTGTTGGCAGGTAATCCGGACTCGGCTTAGGTGGTCCAACCGCAAACAAAGTTGACTTGAACCGCCCAGTTTGATTCATGAAACGGGTAATTTGTCTATTTGATGATCGTCTACCCTTTTAATGGCGGGAATTCTCGTCTTCCCGTTCCTGGTCCCGTGTCCCGTGTTGTAGACTACCATTTCGGTTCTTCCTTCTGTTTGAAGCAAAATAGGACAAGATCAGTGAACAGTAGAAAAATCGCCTCTCATGGAAGGTCTGCAGCAACAGCAGCAGCAGAGCAAACGGAACCCTATGCCTAATAACGAGAAGATGACGAAGAAGAATAAGAAAAACAACAAGACCAACAAATTCGAGTTCTGCAAAGTCTGTAATCTCAACCACGACCAAGGCCGGCGCCACATTTACTTTCCTAACCATATAAAATCCCTCTCTTCCTACCTTTCTCGGTTCCACAAGAAGCTCTCCGACGTTCGTTTCTTCCTCAAAAACCCTAGTCTCCTCCGCCCAGAGCACGCTCCTCGGAATCGACTCTGGTGCGTTTTCTGCGATTCTGACATTGAAGAGCTCGATAGCTTATTCGCTTGGTAAGATCAAATCTATTAAATCCTTTTGTGTTTTTTTTTTTTTTTGGTTTTTAGTTTCATTTATCCTTTGGTCTCATGTTTCTGTATTTTCCCCTTCCCTTATGATATCTTCAGTGGTAACGCAATTACTCATTTCGCGAGTGCTGAGCACTTGAAGAATTTAAACTATTTCTTGTGGAAGTATGGTGGAGGGATGGATCGAGTTGATTCTTTCAGAATTTCTGATGAAGATGTCTCTAAGGTTGTTTTATTGCTGTCTTTATATATACATATGAATTCAATGTATGTGTGTTGCTTTGCTGCTGTTCTTTATGTTCCCTTGGAGTTTTATATGATTTTAACTGCTAGGTTGAAAAGAATTGTTGTTTTTAGCTTAAAGATAAAAGTATCCCAAAACAATCAAATCTTTTTTTCTGGTAAAAAAACAAGGCTATATAACTTGGTAATTAAAAAAAAAAGTTGAAGAACATATTGGCCAAAGAAGCTGTCAACTGAAGAAACTCATGCTGGAAGGTTATTGATTTTTGCTATGTTTCTTATTTTACTATGTTTGGATTGGAGGTACTGAGTTACCCTGTTACTTTGAGTTGGTAAAGCGTGTCTATGATTAAAACCAAGCTATTTAATCAAAATAGTTAAATAAGTAGCTCCTACTCACTCATAGAATCACTGATTCTAATGCGGTGGTGAAGAAGTTTGAAGCTTGAGGCCAAGTTTTTCACTTTTGAGGAGTTTTGGACAAGAGTTGGAGTGGCATTGAAGAACAGAGAGATGGGAAAGGTGTTTGTGATTCTGGCGGGTAGAGCAGCTTTGTGGTTTCAAGAGTTCTTGCAAGAAGCAATATGGTCATCTCGAATGTTGGAGGAGAAATAGAATGCAAAGGAAGGTGAGAGGGGATATCTAGCAATTAGAAGGATTAATAGTAGAGGAAGATTTGTTGAGTTAACTGAATTTTTTGGGCAAGGAAAAAACAGTTCGTTTGTCTTCTAGAAGGCAGAGGAGCTAGAGGTTGGATTATGTTTTCTGATGGGGTTCAGAGACTTTACTTGTTATGCTGAGAAACTGCAGCCTGAGGAAAAGAGATTGGAGGTGGAAGAAAAAAGTTAGAGAGAGTTGAGGTGGGGCAACAGAGAGTGGAAAATGAAAGCAATACTGAACTGCAAATAACAGTTTGGTCGGGGAAGCTGAAATTGTTCTGTAACAGTTTGAGGGAAAAATGAGAATCTAGATTGGTGTTGTCTGCAAGAAAGGAGATTAAGAACAGGAGTGAAGTAGGAGAAGAAGTCAGGGAACATTTCCACATTGATGAGCCATTGGCAATTAATCTCTTTGAATGAAGTAGGTTGCAGGTTTGGATTACAACCTCCTTCAAAGCTAGGTGGTGGGAGGAAGCAGATGATGATGTGACACGTATTTCACTACGTGGAGCACTGGGAGAGGAGGGGGCATAGAAGATGGAAATCTTCACAAGAAAAGAAACTGGAGGATCAGTGAAGGTAAGAGTAGATGGCAGATGCTCCTTAAGAATTTTATTCTTGAAGGGTGTGATGTAAATCGAAAGGTTGGTTTTAATTCTTTTGCTGAGGCGGTGCAGGAATTGAAGACACAGACATTTAAAGTGAAAGCGGAGCATTCGGTTGGCATGAGGGCCAAGGAAAGGAAAAGGAGTCTTTTGGTGGGCTGGCTGGACCATTGGCAAGCTGGGCGGACGAGCTACTCGTGGATGTTCTGAGTTCATTTATTGGGTTGATAATTTTTGTCACCACATGACAGCGAAGATAAAAAAATTCTGAAGCAAGTAGCAGAAAAATTGGTTCAGGAGGTTTGGATTCAGCAAATGAGCAGAGTTTTGATATGGCTAGATCATGTGGTACTTTAAGTTACCACATGATGGGATGCTTTTATCAAGTGATGTTAGACCAAATTGAAGGTCTATTATTGTCTCCCTAAGGTTGGGGTGGAAAACCAAGAGCCTCTCTTCAGAAGAGGTGGGGAAGAACTTTAATAGAGCGAAATACTACCTAGGGTCAAGGGCTTGAGTGGGCAAAAAGGATTGTTGCTCGAAAAACAGGTCAGGTGGAAGGGTGAAGAAAGAAAAGTGGGAGTGGGTGGTTACGATATTTATTCGAGAAGATAATCCATTCAAATTGAAAGTCAGTGTTGAGACTAGTGGGTTGAACTTGAAGAATAGGTTGACTTTCAACGTGTTGTTGAATCTTAGTTTCAATGGGGAAAGATTCTTGGCAGGTGAAGGGGGCAGAAATGTTGGATTAAATAGTTTGGAGGCTAAGATGAGTCAGCCTGTAGCTTGCGGCTGAATTCTTGGGGAGAAATCAAATCATTCTAAAATTGATGAAGGCTCGGCATAGGAATCCCAGATGTTGTATGCGGAAGTAGAGTCACTGAAAATGAAGGGGAGTTTACTATAATGGCAGGTGAGATGTAGAATGCAGAGGTGATGGTAGGTGGATTTGGTGAATCTGCTAGACTTCACCTAAACAAAATTGACGTTAAAGAGGGAGAAAAATATTGAGGGGAATAGTAGTGATTGTGTGTCTGATGTTTGGGGGGTTGGTGTTTCCGAAGAAACTGAGAAGGCTTTGGTGTTAGATGGTTTCAACTTTTCAGAGTTGGTATGCGTTTGTGATAATAAGAGTTGTGGAAGCAATGAGAAGTTTGAAGGTTGTGAACCATCATTGTCAAAATATGGATGTAGTGAGCTGATTGGGGGAAAATGAAGGTATTGAGAGCTCCAAGGAATCTGAAAGTTCTTGTGATGATGCCATTGCTGATGGATTCTGTATCTATAACCCAAGTGTTTATTGGAAAATTGGGGGTGGATTTAGGAGGAAAAGGGATACAAGTTTAACTGAGGTGATATTTACTTTGGTAAACTTGAAAACACCCAAAGATTCAAACAATGACCATTTAGTTCATATTACCAAATTTTTCCATCGGTTGAAGGAAGGTCTTGTTCGAGAAAGGGGGTGAAAGCCAAAATTAGAAATCAAATCTATGCTAGAAGCAGTAGTATTTTGGACCTGGTGAATATAGAAGGGGAGAAGAAGAAGTTGGGACCATTCTTTAATGATCAAAAACAAGATGTAATGTTAAGAGAGGAATTGCCAGGGGCTGAGGAAGACATGGAGGAAGAGAATACAGAAGGGGGAGAGGAAGATGAGGAGGTGGTTGTTGATCAAGTGAGAAAAATAGAAAAAAATGTGGATTTGGAAAAGATAGTGGAAACTGAATTCCAAGGAAGCAAGACATGGAGGAAGAGAATGCAGAAGGGGAAGAGGAAGATGAGGAAGTGGTTGTTGATCGAGTGAGAAAAATAGAAAAAAAATGTGGATTTGGAAAAGATAGTGGAAACTGAATTCTAAGCAAGTTGTTGGGGTTACTGTTTATAGGAGTGGAAGATTTTACAAGAAAAACTTTTCGTATGTTTTGAGTGTAGAAAGTCCTAATGCGGAGTGCTGAGTTGGAGATGGTTGTTGTTTAAGATTGTGTCTGAAGTTGAAGGTGTTGGGGAGAGCCTTGGGTCCCTTGAGGGTTCTGAGTCTTGGCAGTGAGGGTATTTGATATTTACATTCTGGGAAGGTGAGAAAATTATTGTCCTTTAAAGGGGGTCTGGAGGGATCTGGTGATTTCAGTTTTAAGTTTTCTTCTTTATTTGTGGGTGATATCTTGTCACTTTTTTCGTATCATCTTTCTTTTCTAATAAAATATATTTTTTTATTTATTACACAAAAAATGCCATGACAATATTTCTGTGCCTTTAGAATGTATGTGTTATCTATCATAGTTATTTCCTTGTGGAAAGAATCAATTTATATCTTGAAATGTTGACAGCAGAAAGTGTGTGGCAAGTAATATGCTTGTGGTTCTAATAAACTACTCTTAGTGTAGTATGGATTAATATGATCGGTTGTGTCCAGTAAAAAAACATTCAAGGTGTAAATTATGTTGGACGATCATGAGTTTTGGGGTAGTCTTGAGAGTAATATACATTCCTCATGAGCTTGTCTTTTTGGCAAGTTAATACTTCTCCTTTTTGTTACTTGAGGTATGTTTTTAAACCCGGTTTTATCAACGTGGTAAAGTGATGAATAGTTGTTTTTGTCTCTATAGTCCATGCTATGACTAGTTAAGTAAAAAAATTATGTTCTAAATTTAAAGATATTGATGCAATCTCATGAATAAGTTGATATAGACTACAATTATGCAAGAAAAAAAATGGTGTTGAACATTTAGTTTACAGCTATTGTTTTTGCAAACAAATAAAAGGTTATTCCTGATAGGATAGGGAATTACAGCATTTATTTTCCAAAGAAGATTGCAACCCTGAGTATTAGATGTGCTCTTTATTTGTCGCAAGTCCATACCAACATACCATTGATTGGAAGAAAACTTAAAAGAACTCCACTGCCTTTTTATTTTATGATTTTTTTTCTATTTTATATACCATTATATAATCATATTTCATCATGAATATTTAAAGCAACAATGTGAATATAACAAATGCAAACATATTCTATATTATTTCAAATAATTAGAGATGCAGACAGGCAAATAAAGCTTTAATTTTGTGGTTATCTAGTTGTTAATTGATTAGTTGACCTAATCAATGCTTAGTTGTCCTAGGTGACCATATCATCAATATTGGTTGACTGGTGATGCAGTTGGTCTGGCACTGAACTGACTGGTTAGTTGACTAGTCAACACTTTGATAGAACTGTTTAAACCCTTTGATGTCCTATTCCCTCCATTTATCTCTGTCCTCAATTGTATTGTCCTATTAGGTATATGGATGAGACCAGTTGCACTAGAAAAAGGTTCAAGGTGTAGATTATCTTGAACTGTCATGAGTGTTGCGATAATATTGGAGGGAATTTGTTTACCCTCCTGAAGCCCCGATCTCTTTATTTACCTCAGTCCTTGTCTTCATGTGGATTTTGAGCTAGATAAATTTCTGAGCTGTGTTTGTTTTGTTAGTTTCCTAGAGAACACACTGGACTGGCTAACCAATATGGTAAATGGTTAATATCATTTTACTTTTCTAGATATCTAACATAGATCAATTTGTTTGTAAGTGCAGTGGGAGAAGAAATGTGAATCACTGAAGAGTTTTGCTTCATCTTCAAGCGAAGGATCTTATGGACCATCACTTGGACCTTGGAAAGATATCCAAAATAAACATTGCTGTGAAAATACAGATAGTAATGAAAAAAATAAAGTGAAGTCTTTTAAGTTTAGTTTTTCAAATAGTGTTCTGCCTTTACAATGTTCTACGAAAGAGAGATATCAGGTATCTCATCCAGAAACCAATGAAATTGCAAGTGCTGGTCTTTTTTCATATAATGCTACTTCTTTGCCACTGAGTACAGAAGATAATATGCATAATTGGGGCATGCACCTCAACAAAAGCACTTCAATGGATTTGACAGGTATTCACAATCTAACAATTTCTTTAAAATTAAAGTTAAGTTGTTAATTATTAAAAGGTTAAAGTTAAGTATGCTAGTAATACATCAGTGGTGAATATTTTTCTTTTTTCAAATGACATTTTCTATTTGAACCTAGTAATTTATACCTTTTATTTTTTAGCTTCTACATGTGACCCAGTTTACAGTGGTAACCAACATTCCCTGGTTGAGAACAGTTGGAAATGCTCGGTTGATTGGTCTCTTAGTAGTGAAGGGGTAAGATTGCTTATGTTCTAAAAAATTCCTCATTCCTCATTCTCTTAGTGTATCTACTACTGATTCCAAATATTTTTCTTATGTTTTCAAGAAATGCCCCACTGTTCTGTTGTTCTACTTATTTGTTTTTGTATGATTTAATTGCTTGATTTGCTTTTGTGTTTCCTGTTATTGTTAAATAGTTTGTCTTGTTGGTACATAATGATGCAAATAAGTTCATACTGTCAGGTAGTGCTGACCAATTATTGATTAGAATCCAAGCACTGAATCTTGAGTCTTGAAAACTCGGCAATGTTTGGTGTTTGGGAAAATGGTCAGCTAAGTTATGTCAATCTTTCTGGTGAATTAGCCTTTGACATTTAAGCCTCCACTTATTTTCAGTCTACAAGTTAGTGCCTGTAACTCAATTGGTTTGATATCCAATCAATAACTTTTGCAGCTTGATCTCTATTGTCATCTTGGAGAGAATGAAGAGAGTTTATCTCTCTCCTGGATGTTCTCTTGTATCTTTCTCATTATTAATGAAATTTCTGGTTATTGATAAAAAAAAATTGCAGCTTGATCTTTTGCTTTTAATATGAAGATTCTAAATTCCAATTTGAATTAAAAAGGCCAAACTTTTATTTCTAGAAAAAAATAGAACATTAAAGTGTCCTAGCATTTAGCTCATAGGCAAGTTTATAAGCATATACTCTGTTGGAATGCCTTCAAGGCCTTTCAGTAGGACAGATTTTTGATAGTTCCATCAGCATGAACAAAGCAGTGTAACCCAGACCAGGAACTCATGAACCTTGCCAAGCTGAGAAGTTGGACAGCAAAATCAGATAAAACATGGGGCTGGAGAAAGAAGGTTCGTTTGCCGCAGAAGGAAGGTGGAGATTAGAGTTCATGATTGATGCAAAGAAGTTGCTTTTAGAAGAAAGAAGAAGCGGAAATCTTTCAGTCTTGAAACTAAGAGAAGAAGGAAGAGCAACTATTTTATTAATAGAAGAAGCTACACAATGGTTGAAAGGGTTCATCGATGGTGTGCCATTTTCAGTGAAGAGAAATGGTTGGATGAGCTCGTTGGAACTTCAAAGGAGACATTATCAGGTGATATTGAAATCTAATCAGAAGGGTTGGTTCGTGGCTGTGATTGAGAATTTTGGTAACAATAGAAAACAATTGGTCTGTAGTCCAGAAGGAGAACAGGGTTCGGGTTGGAGGTTGTTTGCTCAGAAACTTCAAGATTTTCTCTCAATGAAAGCTGATAAGTTAACCAAAGGAGAAAATGTAAAGAACATTCAAAAAGAAGATTTAAAGAACATTCAAAGGAAGGAGTGCATGAGGGTTCTGAAGGCAAAAATCAGCAACAGAAAAAAGGATAGGACAGAGAAGTTCTACAAAAAGGCTCTGTTGTTAAGGAAGATGCTTTTGAAGAATTTAAAAGTAAAGAGTTGGAAGAGCAAAGAGAGGCTATGGAAGAAAAGAAAAATGGAGGGATGGTAAGGGATGAGAGGGAAAAAGTAAAAGTTGTAATCGGGGAAGAGGGGGAGTGCAGTCAAGGAGTTGAGATGATCAGGTTTGTAGGAGTAGAGGAAATAAGAAAAAAGGAAAAGGTGGGGAGGGAAAGGGGATGATAGTTTAGTGGAGGAGAAGAAAGAGGGGATAGGAGCATGGAATGAGGGATGGGGAAGTAAGGGGGAAGGAAACAATAGCACGGGTGGGGTCAAAATGTATAAAAGGAAAAGTTATAGAACTTTTCCCTTAGAAGATAACAGAGAAAGGTGGCTGAAATTGGATTCAGGGGAGGAAAGTGAGGATGATCTGATGTAGATGAGACACATAAGGTGGAGGGCACTTCTGACATTGAAAAAGTTGTGAATAAGGAAGTGGAAGTTAGCAGAACTCTGGGTTTATTTTTCTTAGGAGGGGAGGAGTTCGCGAAGGAAGCCTTCAGGTTTGTGGAGGAAAGGAATGTGGAGATCAAAAATAAAGAAGACATGGTGCTTGATTGCAGTAATTTAATAAATCAAGGGGTGGAAATGTCTGACATGGGAATAACATCGAGAAGGAACAGGATGTGGAGAGGGAGGGTAATATGGTTAGGGATCAGAATTATAAGGGGGAGATGGAAGAAGCCGATGGATATTTAAATACAATTAGAAGATTAAAAAATCAGAAGAGTAAGAGAAGCCAACAACAAATACCAGTTTCAAAGGTTTTTGCAAGGATAAAAGGAGGAATGTTTGGCCTTGGACCCAACAACAAAGTAAGGAAACTTAGAAGTGCAGTCAGAAGACGACAGGAAGATGGCATTCAAAAAAATCAACAAGTAGGTTTGCTGATTTGGCATTCAGTGGGGTTTGTTATGGGTATCGGGTGGGGGTGGTTTTGTTTTTGCTTTGGGTATTCTTTGGGTGTTGGTTTGTGCTTGTTTGTTGTTACGTGTTGTTTCTTTCCACTTTGTTTGGGGTTTGATTTTGTGGGTCTAGGTTTGATGGGATGGTTTTATATATTTGGGTGTCTTGAGCGTTTGTCAGTTGTCCTGTGGGTATTTTTATCTTTTTCATTTGGGTGATTGCTTATCACCTTTTCTTGTATCCTATTTTTGTTTTAATTTAATTTTATTTATCTTCCCAAAAAAGTTGCAAACGTTGGCGTGGTTGTAAGCCATTATCATCATAACCTCAACCTTTGAGATTCTGGTCATTTCAAATTTCAAATTGAAATGATTGAAGCTATTGCATATGAGATCCAATAGGATCAGTTTGACACATAGATTGAATGCTCAATACTTTCCAGGCACACATGATTTTTTAATTGGCATGGAGCAGGCTTTATGTGCCCTCTTATCCAACTTATCTGTAGTGACCATTTACATCTGTCTATTAGACAGTGTATGCCCTTAGCTCCAATCAAATTGATCTACATAATCATTTATTTGTAAATGAATAAAGTACACTGTTGTTTCATGTTAATATTGGTATGTTTCTATGTATTACCCCTTAAGCTAGACACTCAAGAGATTCGTGTTAGTTTAGAATGTTCTTAGCCATTGGATAGATTGGGGGAATTTATCCTGACAAGGCTGACACTGATGTGTTGCCAAGGAGTTGGAGCAGCTTGTCTCAGTTGCTATGGTTAGACCCCAAGCTCAGCTAGTGGGTGTTTATTAGAACCATTGAACCTGGACCAATTTCCAGTATGCCCCGGACCTTGGAGATAGATGGGCAAAACTGGAAAGTTACACATAACCCTAGACTTGATTATGGTACTGCACTAGGTGTTGGACTAGGCTGTCTTTGATATGCCAATTAGTGAGATCCATTAAGGGTCAAATACCTAGGTATGTTGGGGCAATCTAAGAATTTACCTGAGTGGGTGATCATAGTGATAGGATCAACCCCTTTGTCGAACAAAGTGAATATCAGGGTTTACACTCTCTCCAATGGAAACCTAAACTGCCTGTAGTGGATTTCACTTGTGTTTGAAATCTGGTTTGCAAAATGTATTTATATGTTATATACTACTATTTTATGAAAAAGATTTGCAAAAGGTTTTAATCCCGGGATCTGTCCAAGTAGAGAGTGTGGCACTGCATCTTGTAGCCAGGGGAGAGGTCCTTCCCTGTCGGACATTGTTTTGATCCTTATAGGCTGAGAGGTTAAGTGTAAGAGACCATTACAGGGTTGATTACCTAATGGATTGTCTTACATAAGTCCATTATTCTTGGGTCTTCATAGGGTGGTTGAATCCAATGATCATTTAGGTGTAAATGTTGGGTCCAAACTGGACCAATGCTGATTGGGTCAAGAGTTCACTGCCCTGAGCAATGAATTCAGCCTAGCCTCTTTCAGAGGTTGGGCCGAATCTATGTGGGCTTATGTGAGATCATTGTGGGGTCCAACACCATTCAATATCAGGCCTAAAGTGGCCATGCAACATCTTGGGCCGTGAGCCTTTGAAGTAAATTGGCCTAAGGCCCATAATTAATACGATTAAGTAAGGTGTCAAATTGTCATGTGCTCTGGGTCGAATCTGGGTTTGGAAATGGGTATGGAGCACCCATTCTCTTAAGAGGATAAGTCTTATCTCTTAATAGAGTCCAGATCCAAATTAGATTTGGATAATCTAATAATTTGATTGGGAGAGTGCTCCACAAGGACTCGAGGAGATAAAAGAAGAAGAGGGCGAACCAGACTAGAACACCACTCTCTCTTGTTCTCTCTTCTCTTTTGTCTTCCAAGAAACCCTATCACAACCCAGGCTTTCAAGAATTGATTTAGATCAGTTTTCTTCTTTGTTTTTGCAAGAAAAACTCAGAAAAATTTTAGGCTCACTCACCTCATTCGATTCAAGCAAGTTGGTTCACAGTTTTGCTGAAAACAATGTTGCTGAATCGGCTTCACCTACACACTGTGCCATCTTCAGTGGAAGCTGGTTTTTAGGACTGGTTTGGGTGTGAACTTCTACCTTGGGATATGCATTTGTGGTATCCATATCAGGTATAATTCTCCCCTTTTGATTTGGTTTCAAATCTAGTCCGGTTCAGTGCAAGATCGATTTGGAAAAATCCAGTTTTCAAATTCACCGGGAAATCGGTTTCCGCAAGGGTTAGAAATTTTTTTTTTTTTTGGAAAAAGGTAAAGTAATTTTATTCAATGAGAAAGCCAAATACAACAAGACTCAGGCCAACTAGGCCTTCCTGAGCCCAAAA